GAGCCAATTGAAATTGGGAGCAAGTTTATCAATTCAAGATGGCTCCCAATTGAAATTGGGAGCTCCCAGTTTCAGAGAAATTGAAATCAATTGAACTGAAACCAGCCAATTGAAATTGGGAGCTTTCAAGGAGCCAGTTTCAGAGAAATTGAAATCAATTGAACTGAAACCAATCGAAATTGGGAGCAAGTTTCACATGGGAATCAATTCAAGATGGGAGCCAATTGAAATTGGGAGCTTTCACATGGGAATCAATTCAAGATGGGAGCCAATGTAGAATTGAAATTGGGAGCCAATTGAAGTTGTAGTATGGGATGCAATTTCAAATTGGGGACCGATTCAAAGAAGACATGGAGATCAAATTGAATTGAGATGAAATTCGAGAAATCTGTGAGCCAATTTCGAAGTCAAAGTCAACAATTTAAATTGGGAAGCAATTGAAAGCACCAGGAGCAATTTGGGAGCCAATTGCAAGTCAAAGTCAATTGGGAGCCAATTGCAAGTCAAAGTCAATTGGCTGGTCAAAGTCAATTGGGAGCCAATTGGCTGGTCAAAGTCAATTGGGAGCTAATTACAATGGAGAAAAGCACCAGGAGCAATTTGGGAGCCAATTGCAAGTCAAAGTCAATTGGGAGCCAATTACAATGGAGAAATTCAAATTGGGTGCCAATTACAAGCCAATTGAAATTGGGAGCCAATTACAATGGATAAATTCAAATTGGGTGCCAATTACAAGCCAATTGAAATTGGGTGTCAATTACAAAGGAGAAATTCAAATTGGATGGAAGTTCAAAGCCAGTTTGAAGTCTGAGAACACCCAGACGTGAGAATGAAGAAGATGAAGATGAACTTACAGTGAAAATATTCTCACAGGGAAAAATACTAGTTTAACTAGTATGGGATTAAATTGAAGAATATTTTTAAATCCCAAAGATACAAGGACCACTTCAAAGCTAATCAGAGAAGCCGTTCTACACCCAGATATTCCCACTCAACGTAAAACCAGAGGAAATATCAGATGAAGTTCAAGAACCCATTTACATGGAGATGAAGCTCTAACAACGGCTAGCTTATCCTTTCTGACATCTTTGCATAAGATAAGATAAGATCTCTGACAAAAAGATACAAGATTTCAAAAATGAGAGCGTCTCTTTCCAACGGACATATTCTCATTACCAGCTATAAAATGATGAAGATATGAAGACTTGAAGAGCAGAAGAGCATAACACGAACTTGAAAAGAGATAGAGCAGTTGAGAAAATTCGAACCCATCAAAGGGGAACGAATAGAGCAATTAAGCTTGAAAAGAGCATAGAGCAAAAATCTCATTTGGTACAGAGCATACCAAAAATCTTCAAGTGAGAAGTGAGAAAAGAAAAATAACTCAGAGAGCTTCAAAAGAGAAATATTCTGAGAGTTCTTAAACAGAGCAAAGCAGAGCAAAAATATCAAGTGCTTTACTTGATATATTCAAAGAGAGAAAACACTCAGAGCTATCAAGAGAAATCATTCCAGAGTGTTTATCTTCATCAAGGAGACCTGCGCATCATTGAAGATCATCTACAGAGTCTCAGAAGTTGGAAGCAAGACAACACTTGTTTTGGAGCAAAACAAGAGAAGGGAGGAAAGTAGCACGGAGCTGTGAGATCCGAAGCAGCAGTGTCGGAGGCACTGGGCGTGATTGGTGTGGGCTTGGTGATCAAAGCACTAGATCACGGGATACGTTTCTACCGGAGTGTGGAAGACAGGGGGAAAGTAACGCGGAGTCGTGAAATCCTGGGATAGTAGCGCGGCGACGTGAAACCCGAAGCAGCAGTGTGGTGTCACTGGGCGTGATTAGTGCGGGCTTTGTGATCAAAGCACTAGATCATGGAAATTCATTGTATCTTGGAACCAAGAAGTGGTAGATATAGTGAATTGCTCTTGGAGATAAGAGCAAGTGGAGTAGGAGTATTACACCACCTCGCGAACCACTATAATTGTCTTGTGTTCTTTACTGCTTTCTTTACTTACCGCTCTTTACATATTCGCTCTACACGAAATATACTACTCACACAATCTCACACACACTTTGTGTTTATTTATTTCCGCTGTGCACCATACTCTAACAATCTAGTTAAGAGTTTTGGTTTATCTCTGGCTTAGCAATTGTTGTGCTGTGCGAAAAAGTTTGAAAGTCTATTCACTCCCCCCCCCCCCCCCCCCCCCTTCTAGACTTTCACCTTACCTCTTTTGGGACCAACAATGTGAGTTCTAGGTGCCTCCTATGTCCCTATTTATATATCTAAGAGTCCCAATTAGGGTCTAAGTGGTATGGATTTGCTAATTCTATTTCCTATAGGACTAAGGGATTGGCTTTACGGATAAGGGCCCATGGACTATGGTGGACCCCCTTTTGGATAATTAATAGATTTTAATTCCCTTTTTGGGCTGAGTAATTAATTAATTAATTAGGTTTAGGGGTCGTAACACGGGGTGTTACACAATTGGTAATTTAATTCCTTAAATTCCTGAAAATTCAATAGTCGGGGACTAGTAATTGACTAGTCAAACCAAAGTCAGTGTTGTACCTAAAGCCTTGAGGATTGTACCCTTATTCCCTTACACTTCTTTATTTTAGTAAGGGTAATAAAGACATTTTACCTCATGTTAGTATTGCAAGCTAACCTAGAAGACACCCTTCATTCTTTCCCTTACACTTTCTAAACATGAGCTCCTCCTTCTCTCTAAAAGTTAGATAGCTTTTCTTCCAAGCCAAGTTGAAGCTTTACAAAATCTTCAAAGGTTGTCTCTAAGATTCCACCTTTCCTACTCTTGAGCATCTAGGAGGGTAAGATCTATGTTCCTTTTGTGTTTTTAGTATTTTCTAAGGTGTCTTTTCTTAAAGATGAAATCTTTATGATCTTTTGGTATAACCTTGAAGTGGGTGTGGAGAGGGGACCTTGTTAGGAGCCTTGTGAAGTGGTTAAAGTTAAAGTTGAGTCTTCAAGAGGTAACCCATGCTCTACAAAATCTATTTTGCTTACCTATATGATGATTTATTGGATTCTACATGTGATTTTGCTATGAAATGTGAGTGTTGATGCATTGTCTTGTGAAAATGCATATCTAGAGCTTGTTATTAGGGTTCATGTATGCCATTGCTTGGCTATTCCTTTGATTCAAGTCATTTTTTTATATTTGGTGAGATTTGACATGTTTTTGGACTTGAACTTGAGCTTGGAGTTGAAAATCCCCGAAGGGATATTTTTGATACAGAGTTGGTACCCGCGGGCGGAACGGCGGGCAGTGGCCTACCCGCCGCCCCACCTGCGGGGAACATTGATGGTGGGTGTGGTACCCGCGGGCGGTACCACGGGTGGTGGTCCACCCGTGGCCCCACCTGCGGGGTACATGATGTGGTTGTTGGGGGATTTGTTCCCCGTGATTCTTTTGACTCGGTATTTGGTCTTTTGACTTCCCGATGTTCTTTTGTGGAACTATTTGAGTGTCTTCTTGATGTTTCGTATGTCTAGAACTATATGGTAGGATTCCATGTAGGTTTTGGTGTCTTGAATCGTGCTAAGTGTTCAACCTTGTGATTTGTTGAACCGTGATGAGTCTTGTGTGTTCTTCAGAACTATGTTTGGTTTACCCGTTTGAGAAGCATGCTAGTTCGGTGTTTAAATGCTAGCGTGTGCGTTGTTTGTCCTTTCCTATTGTGGATAATGACTTGTGTTAATCATCGTATCGTTGGAGTCGGATTGTGATCCATTCCTTGTTGAGTATGGTTTCATATCTTCGTTGTGATCCGTTGATTGATTCCTATTGTGGTGTGGTGTGTGTGGCTGTACCTGGATTGCACGATTAATGGTATGGGACATTAGTCACCAAGGTACGGTAGTGGTCCTCGTGGTGGCCATGACGCGATTATGGAGTTTGTGACCTTTGTGTAAGGTTCACATATTTGTTAAGGGTAACATATGTTACCTAGGCATGTGTTGCCATGTGTGATCGGTACCCTCGTGTACTATGAAATCGGTGGTATTGTTGGATATTGTCGGAGTGGGGACGACGGTCCTCGGGGGAATAAGGTTGGACTTGGTGTACAGGGGTCCTGGAGGTACAGGTTGGAACTAGCTATAAGGTTGGGGGTAGCCATAAGGTTGGAACCGGGCATAAGGAAGGCATATCAATTCGTGATGGGTGATGTCACGAAGGCTTGTGTAGCCATTATGTGTGTGATTCTCTATTTGTGACATGTGTTGTCACAAAGGCATGTGTTGCCAATGGTTGTGTCTGTATTCTCTTGTGTTATGCATATCGGATGATAATCTACTGTGTGATGGTAGATTACGCCTTGAGCCGTTCTTGTGTGTCGTTGTACTTCTTGTTATTTTGGGATGTGTTCCCTTATCTTTGTTGTGAGTGCATAAGAGTCTTGTGTTTGACTTCTACTCTTGGCTTTGAACTTATATATATACTATATCCTGTTTCGCAAATGATTTTGTATATATAAGCTATCTACATATGATATTTCACATGTATTGGTGGTTACCAGCATCATTCGCTGACCGGGCATCGTCCCATATATTTATGTGTTTTTTTCAGGTGTTGAGTAGACGAGAGTGCGGTCTAGTGACAGATAGTGTAGATTTCTTCCTTGAACCTTGTGATGGTTTTGGCCTGTGTGCCGTTGTTAGACTTTAGACTCCTTATCGTTGGTTTTGTTTTGGATATATAGTGGATTATATTGCAGATGTTTACGCCTGTGAGTTCACCGTTGGGTGGGAGTGGCATAGCACCCTATGTTTTCCATATATTCCATATTTAGTCTTCCGCTATGTATGTTTTTATGGCTAGTTATCTGTATGATTAAGGTTTAAATTAGTATGGAAATCATGAGTGTTACATTACAACTCAACTCAAGTTCATAAGCAAACAACGGGAATAACCAAGTTATTCAACAATAGAGTTTCTAAGAGTCAAACACGTCAACAAGCATAGTGGTATATATATATACATATCCAAAGGAATACATATATCAAATACCAAATTCAATATAATAATACAATATCCAACCTTTACTCCAATCCAACCTTTACACCGAGCCAAGTTGTACGCCAGTCCAACCTTATCCACTAAGTGGAGCCTAAGCTCACGCCGCCAAACAAAGTGGAGTCGAAGCTCTCCAATTCTGCCAAACAAAGCGGAGCCGAAGCTCTCCCATACCAACTCAAGTCTTACAAAGCAACTCAATGTTCAAGGGCTAGGATTCAAGATGGAATAATGATCAATAATCGGGGTCAAGGATACACAATGTACTGAAATTACTCAACGATGCACCAAAAGATGACCAGCAATGCACCAAAGGAAAATGCACTGGAAGGGACTTGCACAGTAACTCACGGGAGTGGTTGACGGGTGGGAAGTACCCGCCATAGCCTACCGTGAGGTTCACGAGGGTGACTGGCGGTTACCAACCACCCGCCAATCCCTCCCCCAAACACACATGCGGGTGTGCCTCACGGGTAGCACCTACTCGTGAGTTGCATCCGTAAAGCCAAACACAAGAGATGAGATAGTAGGTTTTCTCAGCATTTGCAATAGTAGTCTTCTCAACATTTCAGCAATGAACAATGACCAAACCATGGCAAAAAAATCAGCAAGAATACTCAAGAAACAAGGCTAGAACATTACCAATATAACAAGGAGTTCAAGAACAAGGAATATGACAAATAACCACACAAGAATACTACCAAGACAAGACAGCTCAAGAATATCAACAAGAACATACTCAATAGCTTCAAAAACATACTATGCAAGATATAGCTCAAGAATGAGATCAAGAACATGCTCGATAGATTCAGGAAAGGATTCATCAACATATTGTAATGAAAATAGATTTGTTGAGCATGGAACTTACCTTTCAAGCTAGCAATCCAAAAGCAACCTCAATCTTAGACTCAACCCATAAGCCAATCTATCGTAGGGAACCTGTGAACCCTAATTAATTGATTCTTCATTTAATTTACCAATTTACCAATACTAATAATAGCATTATTATCCACCCATCATTTATAACCACCATTAAACATTAAACCTTAATTGTTATTAGTAACTCCTAATTACTCTCTTAATCTTCATCATGCTCATAACATACCCATCATCCACCCATTAATCCTCATTAATCACATCATCATCACTAACATAGAATCATCAATCCATCATTATCATCATGAATCCACCATCATTCATAAGCACTAATTAATCAACAACTAATTATTATTAATAACACTAATTACCCTAATTAAAGATTAATAGCCGTAATTACCTATCATAAGCTTCTTCTTCTTTGTTCTGCCAAAGTCGAACCAGCCGACGCCACACTTCCAAAACCACCAGCCGCCAACGCTCAGCCCACACTGTCGGAGCTCCGATTTCGTCGTCACCGCGGTTCGCCACTGCCACGTTGAGCGTCCACCATGGCCACCGTCGGGAAGCTCCCTCATACTGCTGGAGAACCCAGCTCGCCGGAAAGCAAGGGAAGAGGGAGATAGAGAGCTGCCTTCGCACTGGCTCACGGTGTTGCCGACTCCAGCGAGGTCTCCCGTCGCATGCCCTATGGGACCAAGCAGCGTGCATCTCATGCCCGCCGAGGAGGGACGCCACTGCTTCGCCGCTACCCATCGCTGTTGGAAGGAGATGAACGCCGAACTTGCTGCACTGCCATGCTCGAAGGGGAAACGGCTGCTGGAATCGTTGTTGCTCGCCGGGTCCATGTCATCGTTGCCGTCAAGCTGGTGACCGAAGCTGCCTAGGAGAACACTACGCCGCTCTGCTCTGCCGGTGAGGAAAGGAGAGAAGATGAAGGCCACCGGTCACCGCCACCCTCCCATTTTCCAAGCTCTGCCTCGCCATATTGTTGTTGGTTGCTCGGAAAGAGAAAGGAAAAGAGAGAGAGACGGAGGTAACGTGAAGGTAGCTGCTGAATAAGGGAAGAAACAGCTTTTATATATATATATATATATATATATATAGAGAGAGAGAGAGAGAGAGAGAGAGAGAGAGAGAGTAGGGTTTATAAATATGTTCGGGTAAGCTATACATGGAAGGTTGAGCCAAGTATTTTGGATTTGGATTAAAAATGGTAATTGTGCTAGGCTAGTTGAGTTCAAGGATATTTATAAAATACAGATATATTTGGGCTTAGAAGGATCTAAGAGGTAAATTATTTTGGGCTTAGAATTTGAGCATTTAAAATTATGGTTTATAAAATAAATTAACCAAAAGCCATAGTAAAAATACGGGGTGTCACTCGATAAAGTCAATCATTCGTATCTGAGAGGACCTAAAGCTCGAGGCGTGAAAACCTAGTTAACCACTCGATAAGATTACTCGAGACATTCTCTGAGCGTAACAGTCCAAAACCTTTAAAAAGTGAAGTAAATATGTCCAGGGCAAAATGAGTCCTAGGAACACATCCCAAGGTCGATTTCCCATTAAATTCCCTAACTTTTGTGCAGAACAAAAAGTATGTTCAGCGCACTTTAAGGAATCAACGGCTAGAAAATCTGACAACTCACCTACTCTCTGGATTACCTGCCAGTCTTTACCCGCTGGTCCTTAGTCTATTTGAAAATAGTTTTCCCTCCAATAGAACTATTTTTCTCCCTGCCTATAAATACCCTCTTCATCAACTGAAGAAGGTGCTAGTTGATTTAATATTCTAAGCGCATACAAGTTTTCAAAAATTCAAGTGTTTGTGACCAGTGTTCTGTAAAAGAGTAGAGAGACCAAAAGCGTAAAAGTTTACATCCAGATTTTAAGAGTCTTGTCCTGCTTCAAAGTGTGAAGATCTAGATTCAACCAAGCCAAGACATCCAGTTGGAGAAGAAGAAACTACTTTCTTCAACCTTTGTAACTATACTCGGAGAAGTAGAAAGAGGCGGAGTAAACACTGTAGGAGTTGAAAAATCTGGGTGCATTGAGTAAATGAGTAAACTTCGTTTATGTATAATAGTCCTCAAATTATACATGAGAGATAAATCATACTAAGAAGACCTTATGCAATGAACTCGACTGAGAGAGTGTTGACACCTAGACAAGAATTGAATTCGTAATTTTCTGGTACAAAAATCACTTTCAATTTAAATATTTTAATTAGTATATGATTTAGCAGAAAAATTAACATAAAAAATAAAGCTGATATAAACAGCATAACGCCTGACACTAAAATAAGAGATTATTGATGCAAGATAATCAAGTAATAATTAAAAATGGCATTTGGCATGACACTAAAATAAGAGATTATTGATGCAAGATAATCAAGTAATAATTAAAAATGGCATTTGACATGAAATGGGCAAGGATCTGCTTTCAAGATAAGGAGACAAAAGCGATCAGAATCTCACGATTTAAAGATTTGAGGGCCCCTTCTTAAAAGAAGCCAAATCTTATGTTGGATGCTTTATTTGTATTTTTTTTTTTTCCCTACCTTCCGCATTTTATTTGCTCCCTATATAATAAACACCTTGGGGGCAATTTATATCCTGCACTAGGGGGTGCATTCTGAAAATTAACATGAGATTTCGCATTGATGCAAAACGATGTCGTTTCAGAATTTTTTTTTTTTTTTTTTTTTTTTGAAATTTCGCTACCCTGTGTTGACGGTTAATTTTCTTTAAAAAAAAATCTCATGTTCAAAAATGTACATAATTTTATACTAAAATACACATAATTGTATACATGAATGTACATAATTGTATAACAAAACACACATATTTTTTTAAAAAAGACAATACATATAATCTAACATAATACGTAATGATAATACTAATGTCCACGTGTATGCGGTCTACGTACTGTATGTAAAAGGATAATATGAATAAGAAGAGGTTATCTCATATAGAAGGGTGACCTAATACAATCTAAATGACTATTCCGAGGGCCGACTGACTACGGCCGAGCAGCTCTGTAAATAGCCTATTGATCGTTCCCAAAAGTCCATTTCGCCTTAACTGCCGTGGATATTTATAGCCTTTAGCCGGGAACAACCCTCCGGCCTACCGGCATGTAATCCACGTAATATCCACGTGCCCCAACCTAGTGAGTACTCTCTGTCAATGCCTAGCATCGCCAAGTGCCCCTCTCCAACGATACTGCCTCTTCGTAGAAGAAAGGTATGGTGGTCGGGCAGAACATCGGTCGGGAGGTGACTCGACCAGTCGGACCCGACCGTCTCTAAACAGAAGGGCAATACAAAAGGTACATGGACGACCGGTACCAACCATCTCTTCATTGCAGCGCTCGAGCCAAGGAACTTGTACTAACCAACACGGAGAACATCTTAGGTCGGTCGGGATATATCCTACCAAGAGCCCCCTGATGGGCATATTTTACGCTCATATTTTAGGTACATCTTTATAATATTTTTATATTAATTATTTAATATTATCTAATAATTAGTTCTTTTTATATACATAGTATAATCTATTCTTATACTACATATAATATATATAATATATAATTTATAAGAGTACATACTACGTACTTAATACTATATATATATAATATACAATATAATATATAATATAATATAATATATAGAATGCATTATAGTATGTATATATATATAATACGTACTGCATTATGCTCCATAATTATTTATAATACTTATTTATATGTCAATTTGTTTGTCTTTGTGCAGGTGGACGCGACAACTTCAATTCGCCGTGCGCAGATTGTGGCGAGGCAGCAGCGGAAGTCTTCAAGACATGGCACAAAAGTAGGAAACAAGTGGTAGGAAATAGTTTAGGTTTATTTTTAGAATGCTATAAATAGTTAAGGTTTTCTATTGTAAAATGTTCATTCTTCCCTCCTCTATAGTATTCGTTAAAGTTGTTATCAATGTCCATTTGTGGCTAATTTCTAGTTGGTTTAGTGAATTGAAGCCCCGGAGTTCATAACGCTGTAAGGTTATTTATTTAACTTTATTATATATATGTTTTTATGCATTTTGAGTATTGAATATTCTTCTAAATTATTTGAATAGTTGTATCATTTAATTGCTAGGGAGGCCTACTAGTTATTTATTTGATATAATTATTTGCTATATTAGATAATGTTGTGCTACAAATTATTCTAATATTCAGTAGCAACTGAGGTTAATTATTGACGGCTTAGTGATAATTGGTCTCGGGTAGAATATTTTCCTAAATTAAATGCAACCGCTTGTGCTTGTGTTATTTAGTTTGTCGATTTTCCTAGTTCCTATTGCTGCTACTAAATTAAATCTATAGCGCTTGTCTTAGATTATTTAATAGTTAGGGGTAATTAAACCGCTTGTGCTTTATTTACCTACAACTAAGGGAAAACAGAAATGAAATAATTTCACGACAAATATTCAATTGCATATTAATTACTTTATTAATCAATGATCAGTGTTGAATTCCGGTGGTGGATCTTTACTAACCAAGGTTTCCTATTATAAGTGTTTTTGATATATTATTTTCATTGCTTTATTCGTTCAATTAAATTTCTTGTTTGTTTAAATTCTCTTTTATTTTATCTTTATTCTCGATATATTCCAAACCCCCCTACCTTTAATTTGAGCACAAAAGTTAAACTAGTTACTCCTCGTGGGATCGATCCTTACTCCCGCTACTACGTTTGAAAGGTTTTAATTTGGAAGCCTACGACAGCTCACCAAATTTTGGCGCCATTGCCGGCGAGATTTTCTAGCCTATTTTGTGTTTGTTTATTTATTTAATTATTTATTTTGTTATTTGTTTATTTGTTTTTCATTTGTCCCAAAAAAAATAAAAAAAAAATTCTTTTCGTTCGTTACTTTTACATAATTGCTGCAATATATTTCCTTTTTGTTTATGCCTATAACTCGATCTGCTAATCAAAAAATCTTGCCGTACGATCCAGAAATTGAAAGAACTGTACGCAGGTGGAAGAAACAAGCTTTGCGGAAATTGGAGTTTAGTGATCTGGCTACCGACCCTCAACCTTCCAACAATTCTGATTCCGAAGAGGAACCCATGGCTCAAAATCGGACTTTAAAAGAGCTTGGAGCTCCAAATTTGGATCAGCAACCTTTGTGCATTACTTTTCCCGCTCTAGATGCTAATATACAATTTGAGCTAAAATCTGGACTACTTCATCTTTTGCCTTCTTTTCATGGACTTGCAGGTGAAGATCCCCACAAACACTTAAAGGAATTCCATGTGGTGTGTTCAAGTATGAAACCCACAGGGGTTACTGAAGAACAAATTAAGTTGAGAGCCTTTCCCTTTTCGTTGAAAGATTCAACGAAGGATTGGCTATACTATCTACCTTCTGGGAGCATCACCACATGGAATAACTTGAAGACAATGTTCCTTGAAAAGTATTTCCCAGCTTCAAGGGCTGCCAACATTAGGAAGGAAATATGTGGTATAAGGCAAAACAATGGAGAATCATTGTATGAATATTGGGAGCGTTTCAAGAAGTTATGTGCAAGCTGCCCACACCATCAAATCAGTGATCAATTACTCATTCAATACTTTTATGAAGGACTTTTTCCGACTGATAGGAGCATGATTGATGCCGCGAGCGGTGGTGCTTTAGTTGACAAGACACCAGATGCTGCAAGAACTCTAATTGCAAACATGGCTGCAAATTCTCAACAGTTTGGCAATAGAATTGTCCAACCGTCTAAGCAAGTGAATGAGGTAAATATTTCTGCTCTTGAGCAACAAATTACTGGTTTAACTACTCTTGTTCGTCAATTAGCTGTCGGCAATGTGCAATCTGTAAAAGCATGTGGAATTTGCTCGGTAGTTGGGCACCAAACTGATGCCTGCCCAACTCTTCAAGAAGAACCTACTGAACAAGTTAACATGGCTGGAGGTTTTCCTGGGCAACCTCAAGGTAAGTATGATCCATTTTCTAACAAATATAATCCTGGATGGAGGGATCACCCAAACCTTAGTTATGGGAACTCACAAGGAAACCAGTTTGTTCAGAATCGCCCCAATTTTCAGCAGTATAGACAACAATTTCCTTCCAAACAACAACCAGTCCAAAGCTCTAGCGCAGGTATGAATTTAGAAGAAATTGTTAAAACCCTTGCTACTAACACTTTACAGTTTCAGCAGGAAACACAACAATTTCAACAAGAAACAAGAGCTAGTATTCAAGAAACGAAGGCTAGTATTCAGAACTTGGAAAGGCAGATGGGTCAACTAGCGACTACGGTAAGTCGGTTGGAATCACAGAGTTCTGGCAAACTACCCTCACAAACGGTGGTTAATCCAAGAGAAAATGCAAGTGCAATTGTGTTGAGAAGTGGTAAGGAAATTGAAGGGCCTGCGGTTGCTACCCCATCAGTGAACCAAGAAAAAGAGGGAACTAACAACAATGAAAAATCTCAAGGTAAGTCTCCCAACCCTACTGATTATGAACCAGTTCCCCCATTCCCCCAAGCTTTGTCAGAATCTATAAAAGGAACGAAAGATGAAGAGTTATATGAAACTTTCAAAAATTGTGAAGTGAATATCCCGTTACTTGATGCAATAAAACAAGTTCCTAGGTATGCTAAGTTCTTAAAGGAGTTGTGTACAACAAAAAGGAAACAAAGGCCAAAGAAGGGTGATAAAGTGCTAATGGGTAAGAATGTTTCTGCTGTAATTCAAAGCAAGCTTCCGGAAAAATGCAAGGATCCAGGTATGTTTACTATTCCCTGTATGATAGGCGATACTAAACTTGAGAAAGCCATGTTAGACTTAGGAGCATCTATTAATGTTATGCCATATTCTGTGTATGCGTCTTTAAAACTTGGACCTTTGAATAAAACTAGTGTAGTTATCCAATTGGCCGATAGGTCTAATGCATATCCTAGGGGTGTAATTGAAGATGTATTGTTGCAAGTTAATAATTTAATCTTCCCTACTGATTTCTATGTGCTAGATATGAAAAATAATGATTATTCTACGCCTATTCTGTTAGGAAGACCATTTTTAAAAACTGCAAAAACAAAAATTGATATTCATAGTGGCACACTTACTATGGAATTTGATGGTAATGTTGTTACATTCAATATTTATAATGCTATGAAATACCCTGGAGGTGATTGTGTTGCTTATTCTGTTGATATTATTGATTCATTTGTTGAAGAAGTTTTTAAATTTAATGGTAAAGATAAATTGGAAGTTGTTATTTGTGAACACCTTGAAAATGATGAATTTGCTATGAGTGACAATTTACGCGAAATTATTGCATCATTGAATCATTGTCCTAAATTGCACAAACAAAGTAATGTTTCTTATATGGCTTTACCTGCTTCTAGTGAAAAATTGTTACCATCTGTTGTGCAAGCACCGATCCCCGCACTGAAACCCCTTCCTGAACACCTTAAATATGCTTTCTTAGGAGAAAATAAAACATTGCCAGTCATAATTTCAACTAAACTGTCTGCCATAGAAGAGGAAAAACTTGTCCAAGTGCTAAAAGAACACAAAACTGCCATTGGGTGGACAATTGCAGACATCAAAGGGATAAGTCCATCCACTTGCATGCACCGAATCCTTCTAGATGAAGGAGCAGAACCATCTCGTCAATCACAAAGAAGGCTAAACCCGCCCATGATGGAAGTTGTCAAGGAAGAGGTCATCAAACTCCTTGGAGCCGGGATAATCTATCCAATTTCAGACAGCAAATGGGTTAGCCCAACTCAAGTGGTTCCTAAGAAAACAGGGATTACGATTGTCAAAAACCAAAATGATGAACTGGTCCCCACTCGTATTCAAAATGGGTGGCGAGTTTGTATAGATTATAGGAAGTTGAATGTTGTTACAAGAAAAGATCACTTCCCCTTACCGTTTATTGACCAAATGTTAGAAAGGTTAGCTGGTCGCTCTTATTTTTGTTTTCTTGATGGTTATTCAGGTTATTTCCAGATTGCAATTGCTCCGGAAGACCAGGAAAAAACGACTTTTACATGTCCCTTCGGCACTTTTGCATATCGACGCATGCCGTTTGGCCTCTGTAATGCCCCAGGTACCTTTCAAAGGTGTATGGTTAGTATATTTTCTGATTATGTAGGGCATATGATTGAAGTTTTCATGGATGATTTTACAGTTTATGGTGACTCTTTTAATACCTGCTTACATAACCTTTCACTTATTTTGAAAAGATGCGTAGAGAGTAATCTTGTGTTAAATTCTGAAAAATGTCATTTTATGGTTGAACAAGGTAATGTCTTAGGGCATGTTATTTCGTCTAGTGGGATTGAGGTTGATAAAGCCAAGGTTGATATTATAGAATCTCTGTCGTATCCCACTAATGTGCGGGAAGTCCGCTCTTTTCTTGGACATGCAGGTTTTTATCGAAGGTTTATCAAAGACTTCTCGGAAATAGCCTTACCTTTGAGCAAATTGTTGCAGAAAGAGACATCCTTTGAGTTTGACAAAGAGTGTAAAGGAGCATTTGACGAATTGAAAGAGTTGTTGACATCTGCGCCGATCATTCAGCCACCTAACTGGGACTACCCATTTGAGATTATGTGTGATGCAAGTGATCACGCAGTGGGGCTGTGTTGGGCCAAAAGATCGGGAAATCTTCCCACGTTATTTATTATGCTTCTAGGACTTTAAATGATGCTCAGAAAAACTATTCTACTACAGAAAAAGAACTTTTAGCCATTGTTTTTGCTTTAGAAAAATTTCGGTCTTATTTGCTGGGCACAAAAGTTATAGTTTATTCTGACCATGCAGCTTTTCGCTACTTGATGCAAAAGAAGGAAGCCAAACCACGATTAATAAGATGGATACTCCTCTTAAGTGAGTTTGATGTGGAGATCAAAGATAAGAAGGGGTCAGAAAATCTTGTGGCCGATCATTTGAATCGGTTGGTACACATTGAACCTGAACCTCCACTGCGAGAAGCATTCCCTGATGAGCACCTATTGGCTGCAACTGTGGTTTTACCTTGGTATGCTAACATAGTCAACTTTTTGGTTGTTAACAAGTTTCATTTTGATTCCTCTAAGGCACAAAAAGATAAAATCAGGAGTAATGCCAAGTACTATGTATGGGATGAACCGTACCTCTGGAAACATTGTGCTGACCAAGTGGTAAGGCGGTGTGTACCTAATGATGAAATTTCTTCAATCTTTACCTTTTGTCATTCTTATGCTTGTGGAGGCCACTTTGGTGCTAAGAGAACAACAAGGAAGGTATTGGAGTCTGGATTTTATTGGCCAACTTTGTTTAAAGATTCATACTCATTTTGCAAGTGTTGTGATTCTTGCCAAAAGTCAGGTAATTTATCCCGGAGAAATGAAATGCCACAAACTCCGGTCCTATTTTGTGAGGTTTTTGATGTTTGGGGCATTGATTTTATGGGCCCATTTCCTGTATCTTTTGGTTTTGTTTATATTTTACTTGCTGTTGATTATGTTTCAAAGTGGGTGGAAGCTAAAGCCACCAGGACTGATGATTCTAAAGTTGTTGCAGATTTTATCAAATCTAACATCTTTTCCAGGTTTGGCATTCCAATGGCTATAATAAGTGATCAGGGTACTCACTTTTGTAATCGCACCATCGAAGCTTTGCTTAAAAAGTATCATGTCACCCATAAGGTGTCAACTGCCTACCACCCGCAGACTAACGGGCAAGCAGAGGTATCCAACCGAGAAGTAAAGTCAATCCTTGAGAAAACAGTCAACCCAAACAGGAAGGATTGGAGTTTGCGATTAGATGATGCATTATGGGCGTACAGAACCGCATACAAAACACCTATTGGTATGTCCCCTTATCGCATTGTGTTTGGGAAAGCTTGTCACCTCCCCATCGAGTTGGAACACAAAGCTTATTGGGCTGTCAAGAGCTTTAATATGAACATTGATGAAAGTGGCCTACACCGGAAGTTGCAACTTTCTGAGTTGGAGGAGATTCGCAATGAGGCCTACGAGAATTCAAGAATCTATAAAGAAAAGACAAAAGCATTTCATGACAAGATGCTTTTGAGAAAGGAATTTTCAATTGGACAAAAAGTCCTACTCTTCCAGTCACGTCTTCGGCTATTCCCAGGTAAGTTACGTTCTCGATGGGTTGGTCCATTTATTATCACTAATATTTTTCCTCATGGTGCGATAGAGATTCAAAGTTTACAGACTTCTAAGATATTCAAGGTGAATGGTCATCGGCTTAAACCCTACCATGAAGGGGCTCAAGTTGATTATATTGTCGATATACTTCTTGAAGATCCCAGCTACTTTGAATAATATGCACAACTAGAAGGGGAGTTTGTTCTATTCTCTTTTTCTTAATCGTTATGGTAGGGAATATCCCGACCTACGTGGCTTCACCACGACCGAGGTACCTTCATCTTTTTCTCTTTGTCTTTGCAGGTAACAGGTCGGGCTCCTTGTAGAGAACCCGGTCGGTGTCCGATCGGGAGTTGCCCGAGCGGCAGTGTCGACCACCGAGCGGTAGCCCTTTGGCGAGAGAGCTGATAAAGGACACGTGGCGGCTCTCTACATCGACAGGCAGGGCACCCGGGAGGATGACACGTGGTGGCTACGTGGAGGACATGCCGAACGGCTGGAATCCTGTCCCTGGCATAGCGGCTATAAATACCCACAGTAGCTACAGTGTAGGGGACTTTTGGACGATCGATAGGTTGTTATTAGAGAATCCCGACCGCAGTCAGTCGGTACTCAGAGCAACCAAGTAGATTGTGCTTAGGGCCTCTACCGTGATCAATAAAGATATTTACTTGCTTTAATTGGTCTCGAGTTATTTCATATTGCTTACGTATAATTAGCAGTATCATTTTGGCGCCGTCTGTGGGGACCCGTGCAACAAAGCTACGTCTTGACGAGCACTCGGTGTCTTTGCAACAATGTATCCGTGGGCATACAACAACTTCGCCGACGACCAAGCAGATGCGGCGAGCTCATCTGACCATCACGCTACCCAACAGCAAGGTCAAACGGTCGATCTGAACCTCAACCTCTCGCCCCCGCATCCATCAAACACATACCCGGCCGCCCAACAGCCGGTGAACTACATACAACCGGGATTTCAGACGCCCGGTCAGCAATACCCGCAACCAATAATGTATCCCGGTCAGTATCCGTACCCGGTCCCACCTCAACCATATGGGTATTGGCCAGGCCAACCGATGTACTATACTCCTCCGGTTGGCTACCCACCGTTCACGCCTGCGTACACGGCTCCAGCCGCCGCCCCTCCAGTATACCCGGCCGCTCAGGTAGAGCCGCAGCATCAGCCCACTTCCCGGGCTCGACGCTCGGCTCGTTCGCGATTGGGGTCGGGGGGTGCTGTCGCGATGGAGGCACCACGGCAGGCCCAGCAAGCAGAAGAGGTTCTCGCCCGAGCGGAGGACCCTGAGGAAGTTGCCCGAGCGGTAGCTTTTGACCGTCTTCGACCGGAAATGCGGCAAAGATTGGGACCCCAAGATCCGAATCGCCAACCAGAAGACGTGCACATGCAGGACGCTAGTCAGGAGGCTTCATCTGGGCATAGCGGGTCGAGATCACACCGACGGCGACGCGCTCGGGAAACAGCCCAAGTCGTCCAAACCGCCGAGCTCAACGAAACCCGAGGATTGCTCTATAACCTCCAGGCGGAAGTTGCGCAGCTCAGGAGTGCGTACCCTGCAACACCCCCGGTCAACCAATCGACCCTGCACCAGACGCCTTTCACAGCAGCGGTAATGGCCCAGCCTTACCCGCTTGACTTGAAGGTCTCTGGAGAGAAGAGTTATGACGGACGGGCAGACCCTGAAGCCCATGTGAATGATTTTTACAGCAACATAATGATGAAGGGCGTTTCAGATGCCGTAATGTGTAGGGCATTCTACTCTACGCTCACCGGTCGAGCAGCAGAATGGTTTCGGACCTTACAACCGGGCTCGATCGACAAATTTGACACTTTGGCGATCAAGTTTGTGAGGAAGTTTATTACTTCCAAAGTGGTGAGAAAGCCCTACATGTATCTTGAGAAGGCCAAGCAGCTAGAAGGGGAAAGCTTGACCAATTTCCTCGTCAAGTGGAAGGCAGCGGTCGGGGAGGTCGAGCCTATGGACGATGCGACCGCCACCCATATGCTTCACATATCTCTTCGGGCGGGACATTTGTATCAAGACTTCATCCTACACCCCCCGACCACTTATGAGGAGGCCCTTCGGAGGGTCACAGACTATGCCAACGCCGGCGAGGCGAACGCCGTAAAGCGCTTGCAGGAGGTCGGCTCTTCGTCCCGTAAACCGGCCGGCCGGGCGGAACATCGATCGGGAGATGACAATCCCCGACCCCGCACCAGGCCTGGCGAGTTTACGGCCTTGAACCGATCCGCAGCGGAGGCTATGCAATACGCCCAGTCCTGTAATCTCATCAAACTCCCCCATCCCGATCGAGATGGCCCTGACAAGAGTAAGCACTGTGCTTATCATCGATGCGCCGGGCATGACACCGAGGAGTGTACCCACTTGCGCCAATTGTTGGAAGATTTGCTCAACTTGGGAAAATTGGATAAGTGCGTGGGGAAGAGAGAAGACAATAAGAGGAATACCGATCGGAGAGATCACAGGCGCTCTTATCACTGCTCCGATCGGTCAGGTCAGGACCGAAGAGATGATCGAAGGGACGATCATCATGATGACCGACGGGACCCTGACCCACCGTCTGGCAGCCGCCCGTCCGGAAAGCCTACCATACATGTCATTTTTGGTGGGCTGGAAGATGCTTCCCGACCGAGGACAAATTGCCCGGTCGCTATTGTGGATTCCCGGGAGACCGGGAAGAGGCAGAAGATGGAACCCATAACCTTCACCCTCGAAGACCAACCTAGCAGCAGTGACCACGGCATGGAGGCGCTCGTGGTCACGATTGACGTTAAGGGGACGGACGTCCAGAGGGTTATGGTCGATACGGGCAGCAGTGTGAACGTCCTATACTTGGACGTCTTTGAGAAGCTTGGCCTCGACAGGAAGGAGCTGACTCCGGTCGGTGTACCACTGTCAGGATTTACCGGGGCGCTTATTTACCCCGAGGGAAAAATAACGCTCCCGGTCGAGATCGGCACACCTCCAAAATCGATCCAAACGGAGCTAGAATTTGTTGTGGTCAACCTCCATTGCGTCCACAACATTATCTTGGGCCGACCCGCCATTATGAAGATCGGTGGGATAATTTCTATGCCCCACCTGTGCATGAAATTCCCCACCCCCAATGGGGTCGGTGTGGTCCGTAGCGATGTCCAATCCGCCCGGAAATGTTACACCCGAGCGGTTAATAGACGCGACTCCGGTCCATCTTCCCGGGTGAACACCATAGCCAAGGAGGAGGCTAAGGATCGGAAGGAACAACCTGAGCCTTCCGAAGAAATAGAAGAAGTTCCCCTGTCCGAGGACCGCCCGGATAGGAAGATCAAGATTGGCCGAGCCCTCACCCCCGAGCTTCGAGCGGAAGTTTTGGCCATACTCCGGGAGTATGCTGATATCTTTGCGTGGGGGCCTGAAGACATGACCGGGATCGATCGATCGGTCATCTGTCACAAATTGGCCATCGATCCCACAGCCAAGCCGGTCGTGCAGAAAACACGACACCTTTCCTCCGATCGCCGCGAATTTGTCAGAGAAGAAGTCAAAAAGATGGCGGCGATCGAGCACATCCGTCCGGTGGTCTATCCCGAGTGGGTGGCAAATATCGTTCTTGTTCCTAAGCCCCCAGCATGGAGGATGTGCATCGATTTTACGGACCTCAACAAGGCCTGTCCGCTCGACCCGTATCCTCTACCGAGCATTCACTAGATGGTCGACGAGACGGCCGGGGCCGAATTAATGAGCTTCATGGATGCCTTCAAGGGATACCATCAGATCATGATGCACCATTAAGATGAGAGCAAGACAGCCTTCGTGACCCCGGACGGGCTGTATTGTTACCGAGTGATGCCGTTCGGTCTCCGGAACGCAGGAGCGACCTACCAGAGGATGGTCAACATGCTCTTTGCCGATCTATTGGGCCGAACGATGGAAGCTTACATCGATGACATGCTGGTCAAGAGTCGGGACCGATCCGACCACACTCGGGACCTCCGGGAGTGCTTCCAGATCATGAGGAAGTACCAGTTGCGGCTGAACCCGACCAAGTGCACATTCGCGGTTCAGACCGGCAAGTTCCTCGGCTATATGATGACCAAGAGAGGAATTGAGCCCAACCTGGCCAAAGTAAAAGCGATTCTGGACATGCAACCACCTTCCACCGTTCGGGAAGTCCAGCAATTGACCGGTCGGTTGGCAGCCCTCAGCCGGTTCCTCTCCAAGCTAGCCGAGCGCGCTCTACCTTTCTTCAAGGTATTGCGGAAGATCAATGGATTTGTCTGGGACGAAGAGTGCCGAGCGGCTTTTGATGAGCTGAAGGAATATCTCATGTCACCGATCGTGCTCTCAAAGCCCGAGCTCGGAGAAGAGCTAGACGTGTACCTCGCCGTTTCCGATCGTGCAGTAAGCGCAGTGTTGTGCCAAACCGATCCGGAAGGGGTCCAGCGACCGGTGTACTATGTAAGCCACGCGCTACATGGTCCCGAGCTCCGGTACTCCCGGCTAGAGAAGGTCGTCTACGCCTTATACATTGCCGCGAAGAAGTTGGCTCCCTATTTCCAAGGTCGAGCAATTCGCGTGTTGACCGATCAGCCGATCGGGCCAGTCCTCCGAACTGCTTCATCATCAGGTCGCCTAGTCAAGTGGGCGTTAATGCTGACCCAGTATGCGATCGAATACCGACCGAGACCAGCAATTAAAGGTCAGGCTCTTGCTGATTTCTTGGTTGAGTGCACCGCCCGGGATACCCGACCTCCCGAGGTTGCGGATCCCGAGGCCGAGTGGTGGTCGTTGGCTACTGACGGGTCGAGTAGCAAGAAAGGGGCAGGAGGAGGAGTGGTGGTCACGAGCCCGGAAGGATTCAAGGTTTATTTTGCTCTCATGTATCAGTTCCACCCGACCAATAATGAAGCCGAATACGAAGCATTTGTCAATGGCTTACAGTGCTCTCGGGACTTGGGGGCTGAATACATTCGAGCTCAAACGGATTCCGCGCTCGTGGTCGGGCAAGTTCTCGGGGATTATGAAGTCAATGGAGAGCGTTTGCAACTGTACCGAGACCTTGCCATGGAGAAGCTTGCTCAGTTCCGGGGGTATACTGTCCGACACATACCCCGATTGGATAATGCCGACGCAGATATCTTATCTAAATTGGCT